TTGATTGAATCCTTTTCGGTTTCACGGGTTATCCTCATCACCCCTTATTTAATTAATAACTAATTAAGTCTTGTGAATTTTCTTAGCACAGGTAGGTTGGGCTTGATGCATCATCCACCATTACAACCCAAAAGGCTCTCGTGTGAAGGGGAATGTTAGAAATATTTCAACCATTAATGTAGTCTCACTTAACAGCTTAAGCTTGAGTTAAATTGGTTCTTTATATGGTATCAGAGCCTCTGTGTCACGAGTTCGATCCTCACTGTCCCCAACTTTCTCTTGTGGAATTTCTTAGCATAAATAGACTAGGCTTGATGCATCATCCATCCTTCAAGCTCAATGAGCTATCGTGTGAGGAGGCATGTTAGAGATATATAAAATTATTAATGTAGCCTCATCTACCAGCTTAAGTTTTTGGGTTGAATTAGTTCTTTACATGGTATTAGAGCTTCTATAATAACCCTAACTAGTGAAATAAATAATGATATAGTATTCTGGGATTAAAATGATGAAATTGGATTAAGAATAAATCTGGAGATTTTTGGTGATTTTGGGAAAATGTTCCAATAGTATGAAACTAGGGTAAAATCATAATTGTACAAAATTACTAGGAAACTTGAAATTCATCTGTTAAGAGACTAATAATGGACATTGATGAATGTTAATTTTCTTAATTTGGTGAATAATTCATGGATTATTGGAAGTTTAAGTGAAGGATAACTATGTTATTTACTAGGATAAAATGAGAGGCGATTTACTAATTTCACGTGTGAAACCCTTGACCAAAGTCAAGAGCTCACTTAAGTGAATCTAAGACCACTCTTGGACCCATTTTGCCTTGTCTTTTTCGTGGGCTGTTGGTCAAAAAATTTGGAAGCCATTTCCAAGAGCCAAAGAAAGCTTCAACATCTTGAATTTCACATATCTCGAGTTCTAGCCTCAGCCTTCAATATAAAAGTTGTTCTTCTATCTCTTGTGAAAAACTTTCCTTCCTTGCACTATTCATGAAAGTGAGTGTTTGATGAGAGCATTTTCCAAGAGGAGGTGGTGATTTTGATGGTTACATGGGTATTTAAGGGTGGTTTTACTTGGTTGGAAGCTCAAACCTTACTCCTTGGAACCTTGTGAGTTGATCCTTGGTATGTTTTCATCTAGTTTTATTTAGTTTCATTGAGATCATAAAATGGGTATGTTTATGAAAATGGTTGTTGGGTTCATGATGTTAGAACATGATTTGGGCCTTGTGCATGTTAGAAAGAATGTTCACAATGGAAAATGATTGGTAAAAATGGATTAGAAACATGAATTGAATTATATGCAATTTGAACTAAAAATTGGTGGGAAAAGTGATGAAATGTGAATTAAATTAATGATGGGTGGTGGATTGAATTAGTGATGTGTTTCGGGTAATTGATGGTGAAGTAAATTAAGGACTAGAACATATAAATGCATGTAAAATTCTCTAGCCCACGTGGAAGGGGTACCTCGGCCATAGATGGAAAAGTGATGAGAAAATGTTGTAAACTTTGGTATTGTGTGGTTATGGCATGCTAAGGTTGAGTAATTAAGTATGTGGTGTATTGATGATGCTAAGTCAATGATGAAATGAAATTAAGATAACCAAGGTGGTCATCCTTGTAGTTCGGCTGAAACCTATGCATGCAATGAGGGATGATTTTCATGTTGTTTGTGACTTGTATTATCAAATCTTGTGTTGATCATCTAGATGTGTGATCATGTAGGTTGAAGCTCTTCGATTCCTTGATGAAAGATTAAGCATTGTCATAGTATTTTGAAAGCCATTGGTCCTTGAATTGCAAGGATTTGGTAAGTCTTAGACTTGAAATTATGTGTGCTTTGTATAGGTTTGAAAATCATTCGAAGGGTGATTCCTTTATGGATTTCAATTATGATGATTGGAATGACTACTTTGTGTAGGCCATTGAGGTGGAAAGTGTTGGTTGTGAGCTTACTTGTTGGACAAGGAAGTGAGGCAGGAGGAAACCCACTTTAAGGTAAACTTCTAGTCTTGGGGTTAATCCCCTTGTGTGTTCCACCATACTCCTTTGGGAGGAATGGTTAGATGATAATACCAATTGTTAAATAGTATGCTCATGCATTTTTTAGATGTGATAATTGTATAGATATTGTGCTCTGTGTAGTTGTGATCTCTAGCCAATAGATAATTGTGATTGGAACCTCCCATGGGAATGGTAATGACCTCCACAATGGGTATGGTAGTGTGACCTCCACAATGGTAATGAGCTCCGTGAGTTAGTGTTGTGGAATGGGTATAGTATTATGACCTCCATTTGGAAATGTGTTGTGTTAGATAATGTATGACTTACTATTCTTTTGTTATTGTTTATACAAATTGAGTGAACCATTGAGGAGTGACCTCCAAGACACTTAGTTTATTGAGACTTGTAATCTCACCTCATGTTTGGGGGACCACCATTTCAGGTACAGTTGATGGAGCTGGAGGATCTGTTGGTAAGAATCCTATGTAGGGTTGATGATATTGGATGTCTTGAGATATTATGTCTTATTTTGGATTTGACACATTTGATGTATGTTGGACTTAACACATGAACATTATGTTATTGTATGACGTATGTACACCATGATTAGGGTTTTGTTCATGTGTTATTTTATCTAAGTCCACATTTGTATTTTGGGACATTTGATATAATTGTATAGATTATTTCTAATGTGTATTCATTTAGTTTGAACCAAGTGATGTAATTCTAATTATGCCTATTTTGAGATTTGGACATGCAGTTACTGATGAATGCATAATGGAAGGGCTTAGGCTTATTATGGTTTACTTTGATGTCTTATATTGGTCATGGTTGTATAATTGGAGAATGTATATGATTGATATATGTATGAAACGAAATAGGTAAAAATGATAAGTGTTTAAAGTGTATAACTTATGACTTAAGTAAGCAATGGACAATGACTTGAGACTTACGAAAGGATTACAATATGGCATTTGTTGATGGATGTAAGTGCACCAAAATTTGTTGGACCTATGGATGCCATTCTATGTCAATTAGGTACATGATTGAAGAAATGACATTAGTTTAAAATACCAAAAAGGTGCTGTCAATTTTCTATAAAACCTAAGAATTTTACCGATATTCATATCTCGCTCAATTCTTGGCCAAATGAGGCGTGTGAGATACCAAACTAAAGCTTAGGATGTCCCCTACCTTGTCCTAAAATATGGGAAAATTATGGGTAGTAAATCATTCCTAGATTTTAGAAGAGTGTAAAATTTTCGAAAATGCAGGCTAGAATTTAGCTACTGCCTAACAACTTTAAAATTTAATATCTCCTTCGTTTCTTATCGAAACAAGGCGTACCATATATACAATTAAAGCTCTAGGTGTCTAATATCTTGTATTAAAATTCGAGAATAATAAAATGGGAGGTGGAACTTCCACAGTTTTAATTACAGTGAGCTATCCTATTTTTACTATATACTGTTTTGAGCTGTTAACTTACGACGAGCATATCTTAAGTTATACAACTCCAAATTAGACTTATAATATCTCGTTGGAAAGCTTGAGAAGTCTAGTTTAACATAATAAAATATGAGAATCTATGGTGAAGTATATCGTCCCCAATTTAGGAAAAACCTAGAGTCACTTAGTGTTGGAAATTGTGAAATTGTGAATTTGGATTTGTTGATTTATGGGAACCACGTAGCAACAATAAATAAGTAATGTGTGACATGTATCTGTTAAATTTAAATATTTCGCAATTGTGTATCTGTTATAATTACAGTTTTGAATTTTGTTAAATACGGACTTATTTTTATGATGAAAACGTTATTCATTGAAAAGAAAAAAGTTTTACCGTATTTTAATTCAACTATTGTGATTGTAAGTACGCTTAATATCATATATGATGATGACATACCGATCATGAATGAGCTATTACAGTTTCAGTGACCATAAGGTAATAAGTTTGATCCTCACCACCCCCACTTTATAGTGAAATTAATATAAATCATTAAAAAAATCTTCGTCTAACAACTTAAATTTTTGAGTTGAATTGATTGTTTACACGTATAAAAATAAAAATGAGAAAGAAAAGAATCTACGCAACACTTGGTTTAACTAGTATGCATAGGGTGGCTCTGAACACGGTTTAACTCGTATATGGGGTGGCTCTTCCGTTTCATTTCTCAGTGGCTTGATAATTCTTTCATTCAGCAAGAAGTGCATGTGACTAAGTTGTTTTGGCTTAAAAGACATGAAGACTTGGGCACAGTCTGCAAGCAAACCATCCTTAGATGCCTATTTCGAGTAGCATTGTCTATCTAAGTAAAGGATTAAGGGAAAACAATAAAAAAAAAAAAACACTAAAATTAGGACCAAACTATCTAACATGCTAATAATGGCATTTCTCTCTCGTTCTTCCAATTGTCTGGTTTTCTATTACTTTTAGGAGCCAAAACCGGAATCTAAAGAACCATGAGTTGAATCCCTTTGCTCCAATCCAACTGAAGAAACAAAACAGACAAAATGTAGAAAAAATGGGGTAAAATAATTAAAGATAAAAAAATAAATAAGGAGAGAGAAAAGAAAAAGAAAAGCTTACACAAAAACAAGAAGAAAAAAAAAAAGCCAGACATTGGTTCTAACTAACTTTTTGCTTTCATCGTCAATCCAACAGCATCATTGTTTCTTTCAAAATCTGAACACAACCCATTACACACAACCACATAAGGAACAGAAAAACCAAAGGAAAATAATATTTTGGTCTTGGGTTTGGTTTCACATTTTGATTCCCTCCATTGTTGTCTTTGTTATTTTTTATTTTGGTTTTTTTTCTTTTCTCTTCTGGGTTTGGTGCAGAAATGTTTTCTGCAACTTTATTTCATTGGAGATTATTCATTGAGAGATATTTTCATATGGGTGTTGATGGATGAAGGTGAATAGACGAAGGGGTGTGAGGAAGGTTCAATCAAAGTGGAGACCTTCAAGAGAATGAGCAAAGAGTTGAACGGCATTGTGAAGGCCTGGGAAATAACGGTTCGAAAATCAGCTGGTGGAAAGAAAAGGGCAAACAGCATCTTCACACCAATGTCTGTGGCCCATGTGGATGATGATGAATCAGGAGAGGTGTGCCAGGTTGAGAAGATTCTCCCCAATGGTGATTTTTACACAGGACAATGGCTTGAAAAGTCCCCACATGGCCAAGGGAAATATCTGTGGACAGATGGGTGCATGTATGTTGGTGAATGGAATAGAGGTAGCACCATGGGGAAAGGGAGGTTTAGTTGGCCTAGTGGTGCTACCTATGAAGGTGAATTCAAGAATGGTTATATGGATGGTAAAGGGACTTACATAGGTTCTTCTGGGGATACCTATAAAGGGTCTTGGGTTATGAATTTGAAACATGGGAATGGGACTGAGAGCTATCCTAATGGGGATTTCTATGATGGGGAGTGGAGGAAAGGGTTGCAGAATGGGCATGGGAGGTATCAATGGAAGAATGGGAACCATTACATTGGGCAGTGGAAGTATGGTGTGTTTAGTGGAAATGGGACAATGATGTGGAACAATGGGAATAGGTATGATGGGTGTTGGGAAGAGGGTTTGCCTAAAGGGAATGGTACATTTAGGTGGGTTGATGGGAGCTTCTATGTTGGGGTTTGGAGTAAAGAACCAAGGGAGCAGAGTGGGACTTATTATCCATCTGATTCTTCTAATGTCAATTTGGAATGGGATCCTCAGGAGGTGTTCACTGTGGAATTGAATAATTGTAAGATTTGTCCTTGTGAGAAGGTGTCAATTTATCCTTCACAGAAGACATTGAACGTGCCTGGCTTAGAGGATGATAACTTGCAGAAGCAGCCAATACATAAGGGAACTGATGGTAGTGGGAAACCTAGATGGATGTCAGCGGATGGAAGGTTTAGTAATTACAGTTCTGAAGATGGTTCTTATGCTTATGATGTAGGTAGGAAATCTGGATTTGATGACTTGGGGGGCACTACTCCAAGTTGGCACAAATTACAGCATTTGAGAATAAAGGCTCCCAAGAGACAAGGAGTGACCATATCTAAAGGGCATAAGAACTATGAGCTTATGTTGAATCTGCAGCTAGGCATCAGGTACTGATCATAATTGTTGTTTCTATGTAATTTACTCTCATTTTCATGGTCTAGCTGAGCTTTTTCTTCTCTCATCTATTTAAAAATGTAGATTTTTTTTTTTCTTTAATTGTACATGCTACAATAAGAGTTTAGATTGAGTTAAATGCCTATGACGCAATGATGAATATGTCATTCTAGCAAATAAAATTTCCTTCCATGATTCTAATTGTCACTGCACGGTTATTAATTTCTTGTGCCATAGCACAGACATTCTGTTGGAAGACCTGCTCCAAGTGCATCTCTTGATTTGAAGGCTTCTGCATTTGATCCCAAAGAAAAAGTATGGACTAAATTCCCACCAGAAGGATCCAAGCACACGCCACCTCACCCGTCTTGTGAATTTAGATGGAAAGACTACTGCCCAGTAGTATTCAGGTAGGAATCAAGATTGAATGGTCTTTTTTCTATTTCAGCAAACTTTGGTCTTAATTAGGTGAACCATGCTTTGTAACAGAATCTGCTAAGTGCTAACTTGTTGAGAGTGCTCTTTAAAATAATTCTAAATCTTTCTTTTGAAGCACAAAGAGGTTTGTGATATGCTCTGAGGAAGGTCTTTACTAATCTAGAGAGTGGAAATGGCCAATCTTTTTTAGAATTTGGGGGTTGGGAAATACCTTGTTGATGGTTGATATTGCAATTGTTTTATAACCTTGTAGTACAAATAGTCTCTCATTGTATTAGAACTTTATTTGTTTATCTAAGTTCACAGATTGTGATGGTTGATTGCATTTATATTTGCAGGGCTCTCAGAAAATTGTTCAAAGTTGATCCAGCTGATTACATGATATCAATATGTGGGGATGATGCCCTTCGGGAGCTCTCTTCCCCCGGAAAGAGTGGAAGTTTTTTCTATTTGACCAATGATGACCGGTACATGATAAAGACAATGAAGAAAACAGAAGTAAAAGTGAGTTCCCTTATAATTTGAATGTTTCACATGAAATCCTCAGTTATTAGTCCAATAGTGGAATGGATCTTTGCATTACAAAAGAACAACAATTACTATATATATTCAGAAATTTGTAAGCTTGTTTCAGATATGTGTTAGTCCACTTTGACATGATAGTTTCAGTTAATGCTTGCATTATAAATTTCATTTATCTACTAAATGATATTTGAGTCCAAACTTTATTTCATGATTGCAGGTTTTTCTGAAAATGCTTCCTGCTTATTATAAACACGTTCGGGCTTTTGAGAACACTCTAGTAACCAAGTTCTTTGGCCTACATTGTGTTAGACTAACAGGATCTGCACAAAAGAAGGTAATGCTGAGGTGTGTATAAACTTCTACTTTGGTGTAAAAGGTTTTATTATTAATCCCATGCACTTCATAAATTTCAGGTTAGATTTGTCATCATGGGAAATCTATTCTGTTCTCAATATGCCATCCACAGGCGATTTGACTTAAAAGGTTCAACCTTCGGTCGCACTACCGATAAACCTGAGTCAGAAATAGAGCCAACAACAACACTTAAGGACCTTGACCTAAATTTTATATTCCGGTTGCAGAAGTCTTGGTTCAAAGAATTCTGCAGGTGAATTTCTTGCCTTCTTGTCCCACTATTTGTGTGTGTAGCATGTAGAACACTGCAGTGTGCAAGTTTTTGTTTCATTAAGCATATTTTATTAGATGCTGTGACAATGAAACCTGTTTGGAGCCAAATTGTTGTTGAAATCAAAAGGAAATTATTGATGGAAAGTAAATGATAACTTACACTAATAGGTCTATGAGGTTGAGTTTGGAACAGTGGTAAGACTGTTCTATTGTGACTGAAAGGTCACAATTTCAAATTCAGGAAACAACCTCTTTACAAAAAATATAAGGTTAAGGCTGCATATAAGGATTTATTTACCTCTACCCTCCTAAGTCGGGATTTCATGAGGAGTATTTTTTACACAAATAGGTCTAATAGTCCCTCTCTTAGTTGAAAAATATAAGAGGTCCATACCAACAGCATAACAAATTTGAGTATTTTACTGAAAAAGTTGCATTGTTGCATGAGTTGCATAATTGTTTACAATTTTGATCATATGATTTATGCACTTGAATGTGGATTCTCTGACTTGGCATTTAAGGTATGGAATATTTGGAACTTAATTGGTTATATTTCTAAACATGTCTTTATGCAGGCAAGTGGATAGGGACTGTGACTTTCTAGAACAGGAGAGGATTATGGATTACAGTATGTTGGTGGGTCTTCACTTTAGAGAAACATCATCTAGTGGCACTGTTACACCTTCTGGTCGCAGTTTAGGAACTTGCACCCCAACTGGTTTTGATGATGGAGGACCTCGTCTTTCTGGAGTGGATGTAGATCATGTTATTGCAGATCCTAGTCGGTATGTAGTCAATCAACTCATCCTGACAGAAGTTTAAATTTCTTAATAACTATAGTTTTGATTGAAATAAAAAAGCCGAGCCTAAAACAATGGTAAAATTATTCCTACGTGACTGGAAGTTACGAATCCAGAAAATAATCTCTTTGCAAATTGGGATTTCATTGGGAGTGATTTTTTTATGGTTTGGACTGAAATAATCACAAATCCTACAAGACTGAGCAATTGTTTTCAGTTACTGAGCTATTTTACTGATTCATGATACATGTAGCAGTCCTATGTAACTCGGACCAATGTGATTGTTTAGTTTCCACCAAGTCATTCACTGCTTCTAAATTGATACTTAATACTTTCTTCACCCTACTTTTAAATTTTCCCTAGATTATGTATAAATGCTGTCCCTACACCAGTGGCTTTTTGACCTATTTAAAGCTAATATTTTTTCTCCTTGATTCAACCGTCAAATGATTTGCCAAAATAATGCGGTGAAATGCATGGGGTGTGCGTGTTCAAGCCGCAAGCTTGCCGTGTGTTGCGTTCTGCAAGACACACATCACTCTCATGCGCGTCTTACAAAGAGTGACATGTGGCAAGCATGCCCTGGCTTTTGCATAAGCCACACATGGGGTGATTTTGCAATTTGAACGCCCACACCTCCATGCCAATTTCACCACATTATTTTGACAAACTGTTTGGCTTTTGAATAATATATTTCCCTTTTAGCATTATTATTCAAAAGGCCTACACCAGTACTTAAGCCTTGACTTTATCATACTTTTGATCCTCTCCAATCAAGAAGTGTTTTTCCCTACATTTTCTGAAAATATTTGCTTTGTTTGTTATGTTTCAGGTGGATTCAGTTAGGTATAAACATGCCAGCACGAGCTGAAATGACAGTGCGAAAAAGTAACTGTGACACTCCTCAGCTAGTTGGACAACCAATTGGGGAGTTGTATGAGATTATCATCTTTTTTGGTATCATAGACATATTACAAGACTATGATATTAGTAAGAAGCTTGAGCATGCTTACAAATCAATTCAATATGATGGAACTTCAATCTCTGCTGTTGATCCAAGGCTATACTCAAAACGCTTTCGTGATTTCATCTTCAGAGTTTTTGTAGAGGACACATAAAAGGTGTAGTTTGATGCTAAATGTTCAGCAGCCAGTGGCCATCCATGTATAGTTAAAGGAAATGACAGAGTTCAAACCAGCACATTGATTCTCATACAGAGTTTGGCGACAAAGACACTAATTGGATGGTACTTTGTGATTGATGGGGGAATACACATTTTCTAGAATTTGTTCATTTTATTGTTTATCATCCTCCACCTCCCCCCTTCACTTTGATGGATTTTATTTTTCCTAATAGTCACAAAAAAGGAATGTTGTAGTGTAGATCAATATTGTTTAGAGTTAATTATAGCCTTTTTTTCCAATTGTAAATGAATCAACAAAAGGTGCAAACAACATTGGAAATTATTCTTTTCTGTAACCATTTTTTGTCTCCCAAATGAGGCCACTCTGGGATGTGGACACTGAATTAAAAAAGTACAGAAGATAAGGTGGTAGACAATAGCTTTTTGTGGGCAAAAATATATGATAATCCTTGGTCCTGTTGCATGCTATGGTTTTGTGTCCTTTTCTATGAACAGGAGAACTTTTGTGAAAGTTGTAGGCAGTGACATCTAACAAGGAGGGAATAGGTCAACCATTTTCATTGTTGTTTTTGCCTTTTTATTATTTTGATCTCTCCATGCCTATCAAACAACAGTTTCATAAGTGCTCTTTCAAAGGTCTTTTGTTTTTACTGAAGTTGAATAGCCAGTGTACAGTAAGAGTTTTTACCCCATTCTTTCTATATTTTTGCACAATTCAAATCTTGTGAACACTGCAGTGTCTCATTTAAGTTATAATAATGAAAGCTAAGATGTCATAAAGTTAAGGTATAATTAAAGTAGGCTTTTTTTTTTTGGTAGACTAATTAAAGTAGGTTTTAATAGATCTGTTGTGACTGCAAATCAAAAAATATACACCAACACTTATTTTCATAAGGATCCAGTTCCATATTCTATAATTTTTTTTTTTTTAGGATACGGCTCCGTATCTTAGTGTAAATATGTTTGCTGCAATTTTTTTCATCTGAATTAACAGCAGAAACGATATAATCTACACGAAAAAATAAATAAAATTTTGCTTTTAACGCAACTATGTCCATGTTAATTTACTATTCACTGTTTACTTATTGTATACCATTTTTTGAGCCTGTTTGGATCCTCTTATTTTTAAGCTAGAAGCTACTTATAAGCTAAAGCTAAAAAAAAGAGCTTAAAAAAAGAAACTAAAAGCTGTTTGGAAATTACATAAAAATTTTAGCTTAAAATTTACTTAAAAGCACATATTTCAAGAAAATTATCCCTCTCTATCTTTATCACTCTTCATTTAAAAAAAAAAGCACACAATTCAAGAAAAACATATAAGAGCTTAAAAAAAAGCTCCTCCCAGGAGCTTTTAATTTTCAGCTTTTTTCTTCATTATAGAAAAAAGAGCTTTTCATTATAAGAGCTTTTTCCAAAACCTGTTTGGCCTAGCTTATGTTTATAAGTAGCTTCTAGCTTAGAAAAGAGAGGATCCAAACAGGCACTTTGTTGTCCTCATAGTTTCACTTTTGTATTTATTTATTTTTTTGAGGAAATGCTATATCAGATTATTATAATAATAAATTTCGTTAGTTATTAGGTATTGGCGTATAGCTATAGAATTTAGAAATCACAATTGGCAGGGTTCACGAGCTCTCCACCAATGCTATAAATTAATGTTGTGGTTAGTCTTTTTATGTTCGGCTTTTTTCTTCAATGTTAAGCCCAAGCTCATTGAGGAGTTTTTCAAAAACCTTAAATTCCACCTCCTCTATATATTCATTAGTTGAGGGTGAAGGCTAGGTTAGAAGAGAGAGATTTGATATTTGAGAGAAAAATTGTTTGAGATTTAATAGCAAAGCTTTATACTTTGTATTTGAGAATCTCTATAGAGAGTTTGAGTGAAACATCTCTAGAGAGGTTTGATTATCACCATTGTTGGAGAGGTTGAATTAACCACCACATTGGTGATTCTGATTATTTGTAACCATTATTTTCATAGTAGATTTTTGATCTGAACTAAGTCCCGTGGGTTTTTACTTATTCATTGGAGAAGGTTTTCCCACGTTAAAATTGCTTGTGTTCTCTCACTCTCCTTCTCTCTCTTTCCTATTTGTGTTTTTGATTTTCCGCTGCGCTGCCCGACCTAGTAAAGTTCAGGCCGAGCTATTGCCGAGATCCGAGATCGAGGATCTCATTGATTGACTTTCGCAAAGGCCCCTGAGCCGAGCTTGAGGGAACCGAGTTCCCAACAGTGGTATCAGAGCCAGGTTCGACGGGTTCTGAGGGAGACGAGATGGAGACCAGTGGCATAACCAATGATGGAGATATATTCAAGCTGACCGCAGACAATTTCACCTATTGGAACCAATGATGGAAGATCATCTCCACTGCAAAGATTTACATGAGCCCATTACCCTTGATAAGAGACCGGAAGGAAAAGCCGATAAAGAGTGGCAGATCCAGAGTCGTAAGGCGGTAGCTACGATCAGAAAATATATTGACAAGAGCCTCTTTGAGCACATGTCCGAGTTCACGAACGCGTATGAGTTGTGGACGAAGTCGGAGTCCATGATTCAGAAGAAGACTCCCAGGAACAAAGCACACTTGGTTCGTCGACTTGTGAAGCTGGAATACAAGGATGGCATGAGCATGATAGAACACCTCAACACCTACAAAGGTATTGTGAATCAGCTGTCAAAGGCTGAGATGAAAATTGATGACGAGATGCAGGCCTTGCTACTGTTGAGCTCGCTGCCAGAAAGCTGGGATACTCTGGTGGTGGTGACCTTGAATAATTCGACTCCAGATGGAAAATTGAAGATGGATCTCGTGACAGACAACCTCTTAGGCGAAGAAGCCAGGAGAAGAGAACGAGGTATTTTGAGCACGTCTGAGGCCAACGTTGCTGAGAACAGAGGGAAATCCGACTCCCGGGGTAGAAGCAAAAGCTGGGGTCGAGATCATGATAGAAGAGGAAAATCCAGAGGTCGGTCAAAGCCGAGATATGAGTTGAAGTGCTTTTACTATGGAAAGACAGGTCATAAGAAGCCAGACTGTTGGACCCTGCAGAATGACGATAAGAACGGCTCTGTGAAGCCGGATCAAATTATTCCCAAGAAGAGGGAAGATAAGAGCACCACTGCGGTAGCTGCAAACCCGGATGCCGATATATTCCTCCTTGATGAGGATAATTATTTGAATGTTGCATATGATGACTGCACCTAGATTGTTGACTCTGGTGCCTCCTTCCACGTTACTCCACACAAAGGTTTTTTCTCCTCTTACCGAGGTGGTGATTTTGGAGTCGTGAAGATGGGAAATCAGGTGACCAGCAAGATTGTTGGTGTCGGTGATGTAACCTTGACCACAGATGTCGGATGTCGACTTGTGTTGAAAGATGTGAGGCATGTACCTGACATGCGTTTGAACCTAATATCGATAGGCAAACTTGACAATGTCGGGTTAGTGAACTACTTCGGTAGTGTGAGATGGAAGCTGGCCAAGGGAAACTTGGTCGTGGCCCGAGGTAAGAAGGAAGGCTCCTTGTACGTGATGCAAGGAAAGATTAATGGCGGAGAAGCCAATTCTGTCCGAGATGAACCTAGCTTGGAGCTATGGCACAAGCGCCTCGGCCACATGAGCGAGAAAGGGCTCCAGATCCTGAACAAGAAAGGATTACTGACCGGGTTGAAAGGCCAAGCGTTGGAAAGTTGCACGCACTGCCTAGCTGGAAAACAGCACCGGGTTTCATTTGTGAGACCGGATCAACCCAGACGACGTTGGTATATTCTTGACCTCGTCCATACTGATGTCTGCTCCATGTCGGAAAGATCCCTTGGAGGAGCTCAGTACTTTGTTTCATTTATTGATGACCATTCCCGCAAAATGTGGGTATATTTATTGAAGTCTAAAGACCAGGTACTCCAATCCTTTAAAGAATTCCATGCAATGGTTGAAAGGGAGTCTGGCAAGAAATTGAAGGTGGTCTGATCTGACAATGGTGGTGAGTATTTCAGCCCATTTGATGCATACTGCAGAGCGGCCAGGATCCGACTTGAGAAGACGCCCCCCAAAACTCCACAGCTGAATGGACTTGCTGAGAGGATGAACAGGACTATTGAAGAGAAGGTCCAAAGCATGTTATCCAATGTCAGATTGCCGAAATCATTCTAGGGAGAAGCCGTCAGAACTGCTGTTGATTTAATCAACCTCTCACCATCATGGCCACTTGAAGGAGAAATTCCAGAAGAAGTCTGGACAGGTCAGAAGCGGCCTATAATCAACTGAAGGTGTTTGGATGCCGACCCTTCGTGCATATCTCTAAAGATGAAAGGGAAAAACTCAATGCGAAGACTAAAGAATGCATCTATCTTGGTTCGCCGAGATGTGAGTTCAGGTTTCGACTTTGGGATCCAATCAATAAGAAGATAGTGAGAAGCCGAGATGTGATCTTTCTTGAAGATGAGAACATTCATGACATCTCGAAGCCCAAAGTCCGGGTTACTGTCAGACGTGAAGAACCCATTCCTCCTGTCCGAGCTGAAGCAGGGGGAGAAAATGAAGAAAATGATGACCAGCAACATGCTGATGATGACCAAGACACTGAGGTCTGAGTTGATGATGAGATCCGGGATGAGAATGATGAACCGGGTTCTCAAGCTGAAGAACAGCCGAGATATCCAACTCGAGAAAGAAGACCCTCTATAAGATACCCATATGATGAATACACCGTTGTTGCTGAAGACAGTGAGCCTCAGAGTTATGATGAGGCTGTAACGAGCTCAGAGAAAGAAGAATGCGAAAAGGCAATGCGAGACGAGATGAAGTCTCTGCACGAGAATCAAACTTATAAGCTGACCGAGTTGCTTGAAGGAATACGAGCTTTGAAAAATAAATGGGTCTACAAGATTAAGAATGAAGAGAACGGACAGAAGCCGAGATACAAAGTCCGGATTGTAGTGAAAAGCTGCAATCAGAAGAAGGGAGTAGACT